TCTGCATGATATTAATAACTTTCCACTATGCCATGCCACAGCCTACCAGGTGTGCATGGTGTGTCTCCCTCACCTGCCAAGGCTGAAACATGCTGTTTTATAACAATTGTGCCTATAAAAGGTCATTTGCAAATGTAGGATGAAGTTCTGGTTTTTGGAAGCTATTGTCATAAACTATACAGGACAATCAAGAAACATATGTCAAGGTTTATTCATTTGTAAAAATCAAATTTATAGATATGTTAGGTATGTTGTCTAGGTTGAATAGATATATTTTACATAGATGATCTTCAAATACTTCAAAGACCTACAGAATATGGGGTCCTTGATGGAGTAGAAGACTGGACAACTACAGTTGTAGTTTTTCTTAGTTGTGATAGAAAGTAAGTTAGGTGTAAAACTTTGGGTTCACTACGGTAGGATAGATAATGCATTATTTTCTTTGCATATGCTAACTACAAATGGACAGGATATTGTAAATGTAATTCCTACTTGATAATTGGTTTTATTGTATGTAGTATTATGTTAAATTAAAAACCTTTATATTTATTTAGACAAAAGGAGGAAATATTATACAATATTATTTTAAAGTGTGTTAATTTTGTTTACATTGCATTTGTTTAACTCTGTGAAGCTGTGTTACTGTGCCTATCTAAAATACCTGAAGGTCTACTAAAGAACTGGATGGTCAATAGCTAGTCAGTAGAAATGATATGTAGGGCTGATAGGCAGATAGAATATATAGAAGAAGAAATCTGGGAGGAGAAAAAAAGTAGCCTGAGAAGGAGGAGGACATCAAGGGCCATCCACCCACATTACACAGCCAGCCACTGAGTAAGACACAAAGAAAAATATACCAGAATAGAAAAGGACGAAAAAGATACATGGAATAATTTTAAGCTAAGTAAAGCTGACTAGAAGTAAGCAAAGCTAAGGCTGAGCATTTGTATTTAAGAATAATCCTCCACGTGTGCTTTATTTGGGAGCTAGGTGGTGGTCCCCCAAAAGAATACAAAACAACATGGCTCTAGCTGCACCTGTTGCTCATGAGACCTGACCTTGGGAGGGGTAAGGCCTGTGCTTTGGGACTCCACTGAGGATCAGGTTGGGGTGGAAAGGCAGAGGACTGGATAGCTGTTCAGGAAAGGAAAAAGATACTGAGAACCACGTAGCCTTAAATTAGCCAATGAGACATCTTATTCCTAAATCCGGTTGACCATCAAACCATTAACCTGGCTTCACCTGTGAGGTTCCATGATCGAGAAAGGTAGAGAAGAGTATGTGCTCTGTTCAGTTTCTTGCAAAAAGCTAGACTTCTGTGTACTTCAGCAGGACAATTATCCTGTGGCCTATGTTTAGGTACAGTGAAGACTGGGAGGTCACGAGGACATAATCCTGTCTTCAGGTCATTTACTCTCAGTCCAGTTTGGTTTCCTATATCCAACTTCCTGTGGTGAGCTCACAGCAGAAGTGCTTTGAGTCCTGTATGTTTAGGGCCAGGATGTTCCTCTAATGCCCATGTGACACTGCTTCTTTCTCCCTTCTCTCCACTCCTACTTGTGTGATTTCTCTTTCCTTCCCTCCATTACCCTCCCCTCCTTTCCTTTCCATTTCCCTGCCTCATGTCTCCCCTCCTTCCCCTTCTGTTTCTCTCTACCTCCTATGTATCCCAGGCTGAGTTCTTCTGTTGTTGTTGTTTTTAGAAACAGAGTTTCTTTGTGTGATAGTCCTGGCTGTCCTGGAACTTGATTTTAGACCAGGTTGTCTTTGAACTCAAGAGATCTGACTTCCTCTTCATCTGAACTCCAGAGTACTGGGATAGAAGGCATGACTGGGCTCACCACCCATTCTTCAAGGTGCTCCCTTAATGACAAAGTCTCTCCTATTAATCTTCAGCTTCCAGTGCTACACAATAATGTTCTCTGAGGATCTAATTATGTTTGGTAGACAGTGAATACAATCACCAAAGCTGAGTTCTTTCAGTTGACTCTTTATTAGAGGACCCAGTGTATAGGGAAGACAACCAGACAGGCAGGGATGGTGTCCCAGTAACTGAGGTGACAAGTCTAATGGTGAAAGCCTTTTTACTGCTTGTTGTAAGGAGCCTGGGAGAAGCACATGGGGGCCTGGCAGTCACAGTTGCAAATTAAGGACTCACAGAGATTGTTTTTGTCCTGAGAGAAATCAGAAAGGAAGTTGTGTGGAGCCCATGACTCTGCTCCATAAGATTTGTAACCAATATTGAAACCAGTCACCCTCCAGTCAGTGCAGACTCATGGTTTTAAGACAAAGCACAAAAAAGAGCATTGGGTTGTCCAAATTGTTGGAACACACTTATAATAAAGAAATTAGTTGTTGTGGGGCTGAGGAGATGGCACACTTGGTAAAGTGGTTGCCATGAGGACCTGACCTAGAATGCCCAGAGCCCTTGTAAAAAGCAAGGTGTGTTGGGGCATCTGTAACTCTATTGGAAAGTGAGAAGTATGGATCCCAAAAACTTGTTGGTCAGTCAGACTATCTAAAGGTGGGTGTCCTGTTTAGGGAGAGAGACCCAGGCTCTAAAGACATGGTAGAGAGTAACTGAAGAAGACATGGGATGCCAAATCATTCATGTACATAAAAATAAATAAACATGGATAGTTAATCCTAAAACCCAGAAAACTACAAATAACAACTACCACTTCTAAAATTATATGATTTAAGACAATCCTCCTGCTTCCACCTCCCAGGTGCTAGGATTACAGGTGTGCACTACCACACTCAATTCATGGTATCTGGAGGTGTAACCCAGAGCTCTGTGCATGCTAGGTAAGTACTCTAGCAACTGAGCTATATTCCCAGGGCTCTAAATCCTCACCTGTAAAATCATAATGATAAATATTGGCGTGCATAGCTGTTTAGTCCAGTATCTGACTTATAGCCAATGACGCAGCTCTCAATTGCTTAGTCAATATGGAATCAGTATAACACAGCAGGTATTGGAGAGGCTTTGGGCAGGTAAGATGGCTCAGGGAATAAAGGCACTTGCTGCCAGGTCTGAATCTGAATTCCATCCCCAGGACTCACCTGGGTGAAATAGAAATCAGACACATTGTCCTCAGACCTGCAAACCTGTGTTGTGGCACATTCATTCTCCCCCAGAAATACATAAAATCTTGAAATGTTTTTAAACAGAGGCTTTGGAATGCTGTAGATCCCAGAACTGAATGCCATCTCTTCTAAGCTGGGTGACCTTGGGCTAGTGACCCAACCTTCTTCATCTTCCTCATTAGTGACCTCATCTATATTTTAGTGTCTACCTGATAAGGCTGTTGTGAGGTCAAATGAGACCAAGGAAATGACAATTCTTCAGTTGAAATTCTCCCTTCTGAGGTGTATCAAGCTGACAGTTAAGTTTAGCCATTACAGAGGCTGGAGAAATGGCTCAGAAGTAAAGAATTATTGGTGAAATTATTAAGGCCACTCCACATAGGTTTATTTTGTGGGGTAACTTACAAATGAAGGGATAGGTAACAGGGTCTGAGGAAGTTGTGGCACAGTCTGGTGGTGTTCTCTGGAGAACTCTGCTCGGTCTACCTCTAGTGTCCAGGGTCCAGGAACCAAGAGAGCTGGTCCATCCAGATCTTGGGTCTTCAGGGTCCTCTCTAGGCCCCACCTTATAGGTGTGACAGTTACCGGGGCCTTAATGGGGGGTTGGAACTTCCAGATCAAAGCTGGAATGGCTACCCACTACAGAGAATAATTTCTGCTCTCGTGAGTACTGGGGTTCAATTCTCTGCACCCACATGGTAACTAATGTCTGATGGACCAATGCTCTCAAGTTTCTGGTTTTGTCCATCTCTCACATACCATCTAACTTAGCACCCCAGCACCTCCTTTTCCCCACTTCTCACCTCTTCCCTGGGTAAAAACCATGTAGGGGGTGAGATGCATTGGTTGTCTCCACACTCAAGCTCCCCCTACCCTTCCAGCAGGACTCTGGACAGCCACTGCCAGCTACTGCCAGTCACTGCGCCTGTGCAGGGAGCTCTAGCTGCACCTGTGGTTCACCAGGCCTGACCGTCGGAGGGGCGAGACCTCACCTTTGGGACTGGAGTATAGATAGGAATGGAAAGGCAGAGGACTGGGCAGCTGTTCAGTAAAGGAAAAGAGAGACCTTGAACCATGTAGCCTTACATCAGCCAATGAGACATCTTATTCCTAAACCCAGTTGACCAGGGAGCCAAAGATTAACCTGGCTTTACATGTGGGGTCCTGGGATATTGAAAGGTAGAGAAGAAGTGTTCTCTTTTATTTGTTCAAAAAGTTAGACTGCTGTGTACTTTAATGGAACAATATTCCTGTGTGTATTTCAGCACAGTGAAGACTCAAAGGTCACCAGGATGTAATCTTGTCTTCAGCTCATTTACTGTCCATCCAATCTGGTTTCCTATATTGCCATTTCTAGAATAAGCACACAGAAGAAGCGTTTGAGTCTAATATTTTTAGGGCCAAGATGTTCCTTTAGTGCCAACATGACACTTTGTGAAGTTTCTTTCTCTCTTCTCTCCCCTCCTTCCTCTCTGTCTTCTCTTTCCCTTTATCTCCACCCATACCCTTCCCTCTTTTCCTGTCACAATTCCTATCTCATCTCTCCCATCTTTCCCCCTTCTGTTTCTCCCACCCCCCATGGACCTCAGGCTGAGTTCTACTTTTGTTATTGTGGTTATAAAAGGGGTTTCTTTGTGTAATACACCTGGCTTACTGGAACTCGATTTTTAGGCCAGGTTGTCCTTTAACTCAAGAGATCTGCCTTCCTCTGCTTCTACATCCAACTGTCCTGGGATGGAAGGCATGGCCTGGCCCATGACCCCACTCTTCAAGGTGCTCCCCTATTGGCAATGCCTTTCCCAATAACCTTCAGTTTCCAGGGCTAGACCGAATGATGTTCTCTGAGGATCTAGTTATGGTTAGTAGACAGAGAATACAATCACCAAGCCAAGCTCTTTCAGTCGGTTCTTTATTAGAGGGCACAGTGTGTAGTGAACACAATCAGACAGGCAGGGATGGTGTACCCGTAACTGAGGTGACAAGTCTAACACTGAATGCCTTCGTTCTCCTTGGAGAAGCAGATGGCAGCCTGGCGGTCACAGTTGCAGATCAAATCCTCACAGGTACTGTTTTCCTCTGGAGAGAAACAAGAGGTTGAGTGGAGCCCATGACCCTCTTCGCTCACTATGATTTATAACCAAAAGAAACCGGTGCAGACTCAGGCTTGAGAGACAAAGCACACAAAAGGACATTGGGTTGTCCAAATTGTGGCAACAAACTTATAATAAAATCATTAGCTGTTGTGGGCTGGGGAGATGGCACAGTTGGTAAAGCGGTTGCCATACAAGCCAGAGGGCCTGACCTAGGATGCTCAGAGCTCATGTAAAAAGCAAGAAAGTTTGGGGCATCTGTAACTCTATTGGAAAGTGAGGAGCATGTATCTCCAAAACTTGTTGCTCAGTCAGGCTGTCTAAAGGTGAGTGTCGTGTTTAGTGAGCAAGAGAGATCCAGGCTCTAAAGACATGGTGGAGAGTGACTGGAGAAGACATGGGATGCCAACTCATTCCTGTACATAAAAATAAATAAACATGGATAGTTAATCCTAAAACCCAGAAAACTACAAATAACAACTACCACTTCTAAAATTATATGATTTAAGCTAAGCCTCGTTCTTCCACCTCCCAAGTGCTGGGATTACAGGTGTGCACCACCACACTCAATTCATGGTATCTGGAGGTGGAACCTAGGGCTCTGTGCATGCTAGGCAAGTACTCTAGCAACTGAGCCCTCTAAATCCTCACCTGTAAAATGGGAATGATAAACCTTGCCCTGCATAAGTGTTTAGCCCAATATCTAGCTTATAGCCAATGATGCAGCTCTCAGTTGTTTAGTCAATATGGAATCAGTATAACACAGCAGCTAACAGGAGAGGCTTTGGGCAGGCAAGATGGCTCAGGAAATAAAGGCACTTGCTGCCAGGTCTGAACCTGAGTTCCATGCCCAGGACTCACATGGTCGAAGGAGAGAAGAATCTCCTGAATGTTGTGCTCAGACCTGCATCCCTGATTTTGACAAAAGCAAGCCTCCTCTATAAATACATAAAACCTTGAAATGTTTTTAAACAGAGGCTTTTGGATGCTGTAGATCTGTTTCCAGAACCAAATGTCATCACTTCTGGGCTGGGAGACCTTGGGCAAGTGATGCTGCCTTCCTCATGTTCCTCATCAGTGACCTCATCTATATTTTAGTGTCTACCTGAAAAAGATGTTGTGAGGTCACATGAGACCAAGGAAATGACCACTAAATGGTGACTGTCCTTGTCACTTCTGTGTCCCTTACAAACCTGCCCAGGGTGTTGCACGAATTTTACATGGTCAGACTGTAGAGCAAGAGACTCTTAATCTCAGGATCTTTGGTTCAAGCCCCACACTGGGAGCCAGATGTTGCATGAATTTTAAATGGTCTTATACTAAAAACCTAGAGCCAGATATTTGGGTAAATGCTGAAAGATCAGAGAGATAAAAGATCAAGCCACTAGAAAAACTTCTCACCACTACTGAATCCTCAGGCTGAATGGAAGGTGAGATCCTATCTCCATGAATCCTCTGACTGAAAGTCTCTGAGTCCTCAGCTGAAAATCTTGCTCTAATCCCTGTCTCCTCACACCTTATATGCCTTTCTCCGCCAAGCCATTCCACTTCCTCCCTAGTTCTGAGATTAATGGTGTGTGTGCTTCCCAAATACTGGTAGCAAAGGCATGAGATCTCAAGTGCTGGGATTAAAGGTGTGTGCCACCACTGTCTGGCTCTGTTTCTCTCCTAGACTTAATCAATCTCATGTAGTCCAGGGTGGCTTTGAACTCACAGAGATACTGTGCCTCCTGAGTGATAGGATTAAGAGTGTGTGTCACCACTGCTGGACTTCTGTGTTTAATCTACTGGCTGGTTCTGTCCTCTGATCCTCAGGCAAGCTTTGTTTGATACACACAATATCACCACACCAGGGCTGCGGGAATGTGCAGCAGTGACAACTAGTGCTTAACAGATGGACCCACCAGACCCACCTGATGGGGAGCCCCACCTGATGGGGAGCCCCACCTGGCAAGGCCATGGGGTCACTGACTGTGGAAACCACTTGTTTTCTGTCTGTAGTTTCTCTAATGTGCCACTACATTTCTCTGCTAAGAACTGCTATGAATGTTTTCCAATTGCTTGTTTGTTTATTCCATCTTTGGGCACATTTATAGCTTTGGATCTCCTGGAAGATAATTTCTGTTTAGGCTGTATAATTTTGTTGTATAAAAACAATACTAGGATTTTTTACCTTACTCAGACTGACATAGAATTCTCAGTCACAAAGACAGCCTTTTACACAGACAGCTAAATTTGAACTTCAGAACAAATTCAAAGCAGACTAAACTGCCCCTGCAGAAAATGCTCAAAGACTAATTGTCAGGTGTTGTCATTGCTAAATCATGGCCAGGCTGTTTACATTGAGACTTAGCTCCTTGCAAATTCTCTTTCTGCACAGACCCTGACAGCTCAAGGTTCAGCCAATTGTTTACTATCTGGATCCCTCACTCACTTACAGCTATGTGTGTGGGTCACTGTAACATCACTAGCCTAAGAGAAACTATGTGACTTATCTTGTGTTGTGAGAATGGGTAGGGTCCTGAAAATGTAACTTATAATTGTCCAGAGCTTGGCTGTGAGTCAGCAGCTGTGGTGTGGAGAGAGACGGCTGTGGAGAGCTGGGGGAAGGAGCTGTTGCCATGGAGGAAGAGCTGTGTGAAGGAACTGTGGAAAGAGCAGCTGTGAGTGAGGGTGTGTGTTAGTGTGTCAGTGCGTGTGTGTGTGTGTGTGTGTGTGTGTGTGTGTGTGTGTGTGTGTGTGTTAGTGTGTCACTGTGTGTGTGTTAGTGTGTCAGTGTGTGTGTGTAGAAGGGCCTGAGGAGGGAACATGAATAGCTAGGCTGAAGAGAGAGCAATAGAGACTTACAGAGATAAAAGGGGATTGTGGAAGTGTGTGTAGAAAATGGAACTGTATATATAGAGATGTAACTGTGTGGAGACAGATTTTTCAGAGAGGTTTTTAAGAGAGAGGATTTCTTTTCTTTCTTTTTTAAATATTTATTTATTTTATGTACATGAATGACCTGTCTTCATGCACATCAGAGGAGGGAATTGGATCCTATTACAGATGATTGTGAGCCACCATGTGGTTGCTGGGAATTGAACTCAGGACCTCTGGAAGAACAGCCAGTGCTCTTAACCACTGAGCCACCTCTCCAGCCCAAGAGAGGATTTCTTAAGTTGAAGTAAAGAGAAAATTGTCATCAGAAAGCATGAGTGTTTCCTTATTTTTTACCACTCGTACAGAAAAAGTCTAGTCCTCAGGTATATGAGAATTTTTCCTAACCCCTTACCTCATTCTGTGAATTTTCTTGCAATTCCTGGGAGGTGACCTTGGAGCAGGCTCTAAAAGCCCACCATTACAGGGCCAAGCCAAATCCAGAGATCCCAGGGGGTAGACCTACCACTGCAGCTGACCTTATTTCCGGAGCACAAGTATGTATAGAAGCTTCCATAGCGGTCATCTAAGAGGGATTTGCAGCTTTTCACCTTCTTGACTTGAGCATAGCAGTTGTCACGAGTCCGGCAGCACCTGGAGAGAGGAAGGAGCAGCTGAGGGAGGAGTATGGACCCACAGGGGGTCAGTTCTCACCTGCAGACTTTGTTAAACATGTGAGAATGACTTAAACACAATGTTCGAAATGTTGTTTTCGTCATGCTCAAAAATCTGTGATTTCTATTAAGCACATATTTGTTGAAAGCCATTTCAGTGGATTGTGGTCAATACCAGCCTTTATTCTCAGTACTTGGGGGGACAGAGGCAGATGGATCTTTGACTTTGAGATCAGCCAGAGATACATAAGTGAGACCCTGTATCCAAAACGTGAATTTTAAACAAAGTTGCAGGAACAAAATGAAATTATATATTCCAAAGTTTAACTGACATTTTAAAGTCAAAGCTGATGTTTTTGATGGTGGCTGTGGTGGTTGGCCATGTCCCTGTCTGGTGCCTGAGCCCAGCATTGTCCACTATTTACATCTCATATGTTCTGTTTCAGGGACCACTAGGTACAGGGTCCTCTTGGACTGATTTTTTCACATGACAAGAGGGAAATATACATGCTGGGGATGCTGATGCCCATCTTAAATCTCAGCACTCACAATGCTGAAGCTGGATGATCTCTGAGTTCAAGGCCAGCAAGGTCTCCACAGACAGTTCTTGGACTACTAATGCTACACAGAGAACCCTTGTCTAGAAACAAAACAAACAAATAACAAATAAACAAAACAAAATACACGATTATTGTGAATATGCATGTCTTCTATTCTCTCCTTATGAGATCTTCTGCTTGTGTCCTGTCCCCAGCAGCCCAAACAAGCCAGGCTCCCTCAGATGGATCACTTACCTCTTATCCACCTGGGTGTCCCTGCTGAAAATGCCACAGAGGCAGCCATAGTAGTTGTTCCCCGTGAAGGAATAAACCCAAGGGATGGTGCAGCGGAACAGACTGCCAAACTGCCACCCAGCCTGACGTCTGACTCGGGATGTAGTAGCACCTGCTGCAAGAATGCACAGCACACTCCATCAATCCCATTTGGCTTCACCAGCGGTCTGTTGCCTGCCTGCTAGCCTCCTTATCGAGAACCTTTGAGGTCAGCCTCAAGGTCCTCTTCAGGGTTCAGATCAGGCAGGACGCTACAGCAAATGAAAGAAACAGATATATGTGTGCCCATAAGACTGAGATGTAATCATGACGTTTGAAGTGCACATGACATGAAAATGCATGGTAAATGGGGGAGATGTCAGAGCTGTTTTTGCATGGTGAAGTTACAGATGAAAGCAGCATTTTCAGAGTTGGTTAACTTAAGGTCATGCCTGACAGGGTACCGGATCTGAGAATCAGTGCTCTGGTGGGGTGACACCTGTACTAACAATTGGTAGACCTGTAACTGCACCATGGCCCACAACAGATCATGACCATCACTCCTGACACTTCCTCCTTGACTCCTATCAGCTGCTGCATGGGGAAAAAAGTGAATAGAGGTGTGTGTGTGTGTGTGTGTGTGTGTGTGTGTGTGTGTGTGTGTGTGTGTGTGTGTTTGCCCAACACAGGTTGAAAGCAAGCTCTTGGGAGCACTTGTAAATGTCATACTACACATAAGGAGGTCAGAGGACAGCCAAGCTTAAGTAGGATGTTATCTACCTATTTGAGACATGTAGTTGCCCTTTAACCCAGGCTGGCCTCTGACTTTGTAGCAACCCTCTGGCCTCAGCCTGCCAAGTGGTAAGGTTAGAAATGAAAACCACTGTACTGGGCTAGGATGACTCCTTAGGATTAAGTTCTATAGACATTGCCTTTTGCTTTGCTTGCCTGCTCATTTCTCACTGTCAGGACAGACAGCTGCCACACTGTCAGCTGCCCTGTGGTCCCTGTGTTGAGGAGCTGAGAATACTCTCCAGTCAACAGCCAGGGACAAACTGACCTCTTAGTTCCAATAACCCAACAATCCAACCATCTCTTGAGTTTGAAAACTGCCCCAAACCTACTCAAGCCTAGGTGAAACCCTAGCCTTAGCCAGCAGTGGGATTCATCACAGTTCTAGCTGAGACCTTGAGCCAGAGAAGCAGCCAACACATGCTCACTGTTTTACACTGGAAGAATTAGAAGGAATCTTTTGTATGGCCATGCACAGCTCATAGACAAGGCTAATGGTCATATCATCATTGTAAAGTCAGCATTTGACACAACAAACTGTTCATCAGCTGAGGAGTAGGTAAATAACCCAGGATTCAGAATGCAGTGGGATAGTTGGTCACCATTAAAATAAAGAGAAACCAGGTAAGTGGAACACACACTGTGTAATCTCAGCACACTGGAGGCTGAGACAGGTGGATGTCTGAATTGAAATCCATCCTGGTTTATAGAGTTGCAGGAACACCATCACTACTCTGAGAAACTTTCTCATGCAAAATGGGAACAACAACAACAAAAAAGAGTTACAACCCCAAACCAGAACTTCAGGTGTGACAATTAGGGGCCTGTGCATTGAACACAAGGAAGATGGGGGGCACCCAGAGCAGATAAGGGTCCTACCTGTGAGCAGAGTGATCAGCAGAAGGATTGTCATCCTGAGTGTGTGGAGGACTCAAGTGACTTCTCTCTTTATAGTTCTGTGGGTAATCCTAACACTAGGGAGGTTGAGGTAAGTGTTGGCTGGAATGTCAAGTTGGAGGACATCCTGAGCCAGAATGATGTAATCTTGTAAAAAAATAATAATAATAAAGGCTAGAGAGATGGCTCTGCAGTCAGGAGCACTTGTTGAGCTTGTGTGGGACCCAGGCTCAGGTCCAGCAGCCACATGTCAGCTCACAACTGTCTAAACCCCAGTTCTGGAGGATCAGACCCCTCCTCTGGCCTCTGTAGACACTGCTCACACTCAGTTCACAGAAACACAAGCAGGCAAAGGACTCAAACACATAAAATAAAAGTCAATATTTTTAAAAATAAAATAAAAGTCAAATATTCAGGGCACCTTAGGGCCAAGGAAATCAGTGCCAGGGCAGTATGGCAGAAGCCGAAGGGGCTTTCTTTGCTCAGGTAGGTGAATGTAGTGGACTTTTCTAAAAGGTCATCTGATTTCAGGCCTAGAGAGTAAATGTACCAGCTGTTGTGGACATGGGGGTCCACAACCCAGAGGCTCTTAGACCCCCAAACCAGAAATTCAGGTGTGACCAGCTGGGGAACTGTGAAGAGAAGAGGAATGGTGGGCACTCAGAGGGGACAAGGGTCCTTCCTGTGAGCAGAGTGACCAGCAGAAGAAGTTTCATCCTGAGTGACGGGAGGACTCAGTGACTTCTCTTTAGAGTCCTGTAGCTGTCCTCTGACAGTGTCCAGTCAGCACACTGGGCCTGTGACTACTGTGTGTGTAGCACAGAAGTAGAATGTGTGCACCCTCACACACAGTCCCGACCTGCAGAGCTGCTGTAGATGGTGACAGAGCCTGAATCAGTGCTGTCCCAGAGTCACAGAGAAAGGGCTAGATCAACAACCCAACCAGCTCAAGTGCAGTGACAGGAAAAATATCAAGACCCTCCCCCGTGGATGGTTTGAGGTCATAAGAAGATATAGACATTGCTCCAGGGGTTGTATCTGAGGGATACAGGTAGTGAAGTGTGGTCCCAGGAAGGAGAAGCTGGCCCTAACAATCCTCCATGTTTACTGTATAAACCATGTGCTAAGTCTGTCCTAAGAATCTCATACAACTTATGAGGTAGATCCAGTTACAAATACGATTTTTAATTAATTAACTGTTTAGTTAATGTGTGTGTGTCTAAGAGAGAGAGAGAGAGAGAGAGAGAGAGAGAGAGAGAGAGAGAGAGAGAGAGACAGAGAGGCAGAGAGACAGAGAGACAGAGAGACAGAGAGACAGTGACAGAGATCCCTTGTGTGCCAATGACTCTGTGGAGTCATTTCTCTCCTTCTACCTTTTGATCGGTTTCAGGAACTGGACTCAGGTCTACAGGCTTGAATCATAGGCTCAACTTACTAGGGTACAAACTCCATTTGAAAATTGGGAATGTAGCCAGAAGGTGGTGGTGGTGGTGCACATCTTGGATGTCAGCACTCAGAAAGCAGAGGCAGGTGAATATCTGAGTTTGAGGCCGGCCTGGTCTACAGAGTGAGTTCCAGGACAGCCAGAGACACACAAAGAAACCTGTCCCAAAACACCAATGAAAAGAAAGTGAAAGAAGGAAAGAGAAAGCAAAGGAAATGACCAAGAGATGTGTCCACAGGCCAATACGATGCAGACAATTCTTCAGCGGAGATTCTCCCTTCTAAGATGTATCAAGCTGACAATTAAGTTTAGCAATTAGAGGCTGGAGTGATGGCCCATCAGCAAAGAATACTTTCTGCTCTTCCTGAGTACTGGGGTTCAATTCTCTGCACCCACATGGTTGCTAGTGAACAATTTTTGATGGTCCAATGCCCTCAAGCCTCTGGGTTTGCCCATCTCCCACGTATCATCCAATTCAGGACCCCAGCACCTCCTTTTCCCCACTTCACACCTCCTCCCTGGATATAAACCATGTAGGGGGTGAACTGAGTAGGTTGTCTACACACTCAAGCTCCCCCTACCCTTCCAGCAGGACTCTGGACACCCACTGCCAGCTACTACCAGTTACTGCCTCTTTGCAGGATGCTCTAGCTGCATTGGTTGCTCACCTGGCCTGTCCTTGGGAAGTGTGAGGCCTGGCCTTTGGGACATCAGTAAGGACCTAGGTAGAAGTGGAAAAGCAGAGGGCTGAGCTGCTGTTCACTAAAGGAAAAGAGAGACTGTGAACCGTGTAGCCTTAAACAGGTCAATGAGACATCTTATTTCTAAACCCAGTTAACTAGGGAACCAGAGATAAACCTGCTTTACATAAGGAGTCCTGTAATACATAAAAGTAGAGAAAGGGAAGTGCACTCTTTTGTTTGTTCAAAAAGTTAGGCTGCTGGGTACTTTAGTGGGACAATTATCCTGTGGCGTGTGTTTAGGCACAGTGAAGACTAGGAGGCCACCAGGATGTAATCCTGCCTTCAGGTCATTTACACTCAGTCCAATTTGGTTTCCTATATCCCCATTCGCAGAATGAGCACACAGCAGAAGTACTTTGAGTCCAGTATTTTTAGGGCCAAGATGTTCCTTTAGTGCCCACGTGACACTGCTTCTCTCTCTCTTCTCTCCCCTCCTACCTCTCTGTCTTCCCTTTCCTTCCCACCCCTCCCTCCCCTCCTTGCCTGTCCCTTTCCCTTCTGTTTCTCCTTGCAACCTATGTATCTCAGGCTGAGTTCTTCTGTTGTTGTAGTTGTTGTAATTAGAGAAAGAGTTTCTTCATGTATTACTCCTGATTGTACTGGAACTTGATTTTTAGACCAGGTTGTCCTGTAACTTAAGAGATCTGCCTTCCTCTGTCTCTGCAACCAACTGTCCTTGGATGGAAGGCATGGCCTGGCTCACCACCCACTCTTCCAGGTGCTCCCCTAATGGCAATGTCTTTCCGAATAACCTTCAGTTTCCAGGGCTAGAGTCTAGTTATGGTTAGTAGACAGAGAATACAATCACCAAGCCAAGTTCTTTCAGTCGGTTCTTTATTAGGGGGCACAGTGTGTAGTGAACACAATCAGACAGGCAGGGATGGTGTACCCATAACTGAGGTGACAAGTCTAACACTGAACGCCTTTGTTCTGCTTGGAAAAGCAGATGGCGGCCTGGCAGTCACAGTTGCAGATCAAGTCTTCACGGGTGTTGTTTCTGCCTGGAGAGAAACAAGTAATAAGTTGAGTGGAGTCCATGACCCTGTTCTCTATGATTTATAACCAAAAGAAACTGGTGAC